TTTACATTGTGCAGCATTCGTTCGCGTGTGAGCGATAATGGAAGAGAACTTTCCACAGGATTTCTACAGTCAATGTTTTTGCAGTTGATTGACTCTTCCTTATTTTTGTCACGGATGTTCTTTTTGGAATTCCGTCACCTGGAGGTTGGGAAACCTGGTTTTTGGGGGATTCAAGGGAGTAACGGAGAAGGAGAGGGCGGCCAAAGGCTGGAACTAAACCTCCACATGCAACGGCCAGGCATGTCGGAATGCCCCTCCCTTGGAGTTCATGGTGGGGAAAGGCTCCAGGGCTATTTTTGGGCAGGAACGCACAGGAACGGAGTTCCGGCTGGCTCCCAAGTTGGCCACGCCCAGCAGGAACTCATTAGCATAACAGGCCACAACCAACAGCAGAAACTCATTCGGATTGGCTACAATTAGGGGTGTGTGGCCTAAGATGCAAAAAGCCCTGGGTTTTGACAACAAACAAGGTAAACAGAATAAGAAGGGAAAGGTGGGTGTGGCTGGATGACCACACTTCTGGTAACATGGGGGTGTGGCCTAATGTGTGAATGAGCTGTGCTGTCAGGGGTGTGGCCTAATATGCTAATGAGTTCCTGCTGTTGGGTATGGCCTGTTATGCTAATGAGTTCCTGCTGGGCTTTTTCTACAAAAAGAGCCCTGGGGAAAGCCGTGCCCTTTTTACAAGGCCGTAGTTTGCCGAGGGCGCAAAAAAAAAACCCTTTGGGCCAAACCCCAGACCAAGTCGATTTGGGCTTGTGGGTCACCATACCGAAAAGGTTGGGAACCCGTCCCCTTTAGAGTCACCGAAACTCGTTGTCGTCCCTCCGTCACGTAGCAGTGAGTCCCGTCGACATTCAGAACTTCCCACCCCATTATCGCAAGGGAGCCTCCCCAGATAATTTGAACGCCTCCCTGGTGGGGGAAAAATATTCTCGATTGGCAAAGAATCCCACGCTGAATGGACGCAATGGCACGACTTTATTGGGAAAGAAAAGACTGGGAGTCATGGGAGATGGCTGCCCAGCCGACCAAGGGTGGGACCTTCCTCTTTAATGAGACCTGCAGCCCTTCGTGCCAGAAACATGTGCACCAAAGAGGAATTATGGGTCAGAAATGGACTGTGGGGCTCCAGTGTAGGTGGTGGGCTCTGAACACATCCATCACTGGTGCCGCGTGGAGAGGAGAAGAAGAGGACTGGATTTATACCCTGCCCTTCACTACCCGAAGGAGTCTCAGAGCAGCGTAAGATCTCCTTTCCCTTCCCGTTATGCTAATGAGTTCCTGCTGGGCTTTTTCTACAAAAAAAAGCCCTGGCGGAAAGCCGTGCCCTTTTTACAAGGCCGTAGTTTGCCGAGGGCGCAAAAAAACCCCTTTGGGCCAAACCCCAGACCAAGTCAATTTGGGCTTGCGGGTCACCATACCGAAAAGGTTGGGAACCCGTCCCCTTTTAGAGTCACCGAAACTCGTTGTCGTCCCTCTGTCATGGAGCAGTGAGTCCCGTCGACGTTTGGAACTTCCACCCCATTATCGCAAGGTAGCCTCCCCAGATAATTTGAACGTCTCCCTGGTGGGGAAAAAATATTCTCGATTGGCAAAGAATCCCACACTGATTGAACACAATGGCACAACTTTATTGGGAAAGAAAAGACTGGGAGTCATGGGCGATGGCTGCCCAGCCAACCAAGGGTGGGACCTTCCTCTTTAATGAGACCTGCAGCCCTTCGTGCCAGAAACATGTGCACCAAAGAGGAATTATGGGTCAGAAATGGACTGTGGGGCTCCAGTGTAGGTGGTGGGCTCTGAACACCTCTATCACTGGCGCCGCATGGAGAGGAGAAGAGAAGGGACTGGATTTTATACCCCGCCCTTCACTACTCGGAGTCTCAGAGCAGTGTACAATCTCCTTTCCCTTCTGCTCCCCACAACAGACACCCTCTCAGGTGGGTGGGGCTGAGAGAGCTCTTTCCAGGACTGCTCCTGCGAGAACAGCTCTGAGAGAGAACTTGTGACCGACCCAAGGTCACACCAGCAGCTGCGTGTGGAGGAGCGGGGGATCAAACCCAGTGTCCCAGATTAGAGTCTGTGCTTCTAACCACTACACCAAACTGGCTCTGCGATGCGCCACGTGCAGCGCATTTTGGAAGAGAGGCCTTTTAGCCCTGACAATTCAGGGGAGCCTCCATGTCCAAAGGCAGCATACCTCCGAGTCGAGTTGCAGATCAACCACATGTTCCACGGACAACCCTTTGGACGTATATCGTCTGTCGGCATCGTCTGACAAATATTTACAGTCCTACTTCCCCCTCCCGGCCCACTTCCTCTCCCGCAAATCACACTGGTTCCATCAGTGGGTCAGGCAGGCCAGGGGCCTCTCCGATCCTGGGAAAATGTAGCTCTTCGGCAGAGCTTCCCCCAGATCTGGGCACGCGGCCAAGCCCCCCAGCGTAGCTCCTTAGAGACTGCCCCCCGGGGGGGGGCTGCGTATTCAGATCTGCTGGCCGCAACGTGGCTTCCCCGGTCAGACACGTTGCTGGGGAGGTTGTGGGGGGGGCGGTGGGTCATATATCTTCATTCACTTCTCCTTTTTCTTTTCGGGTTCTCCCAGAGAGCACAATCCCGCTGGCTTGGTCTGAATGCATCCAGCGAGGGGGTGAAGGCGGGGGCGCTTTCCCTCTGACCTCTTTTGTGGCGGAGGCGCCCCTCCGGACCATTAACTGAGCCCCTCCGGACCATTAACTGAGCCCCTGTGCTTCTCCTCCGTGTAAGAGACAGACCCGTCCCTGATGCCTTTAGGGTTGCCAGTCTCCAGGCGGTGGCTGGAGATCTCCCCTTCTTACAACCAGCGTTCCCTCTACGCTGAGTGAGTGTGAGCCAGCTCGCCGGTTTTTTGAGCCTCCGGCTCACGCGTTTTTGCCTTCGCTCGGGAAGGATGGGCTCCAGAGCAAACTAGTTTATGCAGCAGCCCAATCGCGGGCTCACAACTTTTAATGCCGGTCGCTCACACAGTAGAATGTTTTGCTCACAAGACCCCCACGGCTTAGAGGGAGCGGTGACAACTGATCTCCAGGTGACAGAGATCAGTTCTGGAGGAAAACGGTCGCTTTGGAAGGTGGACTCTACTGGAACACACCCCACTGGAGTGTCCCTCCCGCAAACCCTCAACCTCCCCAGGCTCCACCCCCAAAGCCTCCAGGTATTTCCTAACCTGGAGCTGGCAACCCATTCTCTACCCAGGGATGGCTTTGGGGGCTTTACAGGAGGGGTGGTGGGAAAAGCCCATTATAAAATAATTATCAGTAATGTTTAAGGCCCTTTAAAGAGCCGGTTTGGTGTCGTGGTTAGGAGCGCGGACTCTAATCTGGGAGAACCGGGTTTGATTCCCCATTCCGCCGCATGCAGCTGCTGGTGTGGCCTTGGGTCAGTCACAAGTTCTCTCAGAGCTGGTCTCTCAGGAGCAGTCCTCGAAAGAGCTCTCTCAGCTCCACCTACCTCACAGGGTGTCTGTTGTGGGGAGGGGAAGGGAGAGGAGATTTTAAACTGCTCTGAGACTCTGAGTGAAGGGCGGGGTATAAATCCAATCTCCTCCTCCCCCTATTCCTCCTCCCCCTCCCCCCCTCCTCCTCCTCTTCTTCTTCTTCTTCTTTTCCCCAAGGACTGCGCACCACAAAAATATAACCTTTCCCTTCAATGTTCATTCATTATGAATTCTCCGGATTAACAATCTATAGTTTATGTTTTGAGAATGGAAGGATTGCCCTTTGAAAAATAAGGAACGACCTCTTTGTGTTGTTGATCTTTGATAGAGGCGCCACGAAACGGAAACGGTTGATCCGGAGAGTTTCGTCATCATTCCCTTGTGAAGACCTCTTTGATTGTATGTCCGAAAAAAAAACAAATGGACTTTGGGCATTACATGGAAATATAGACTTTTGTGATCTAAACTGCAGCAATTTTTGCACTGTTCCCTTTTTGCGTTTTGCTTTACTGTACTGTGGACTGTGACCTTCTTGCTTTTCTCTAACCTGCGTGTGAGGCCCGGAGATCTCCCCAAGAATGACAACTGGTCTTCGGGCCACGGAGATCGGTTCCCCTGGAGGAAATGTCAGCTTTGGGGGGGTGGACTCTGTGGTATCACGTCGCCTCTTAGACAGTGCCCTCAAATCTCCAGGAATTTCCCAAGTCAGAGAACACTCCCCTCGAAGGAAGTCACAATGTGCCGGATCAGGGCTTTTTCCCAGGGGGAACGGGCCGGAACGGTGTTCTCTTTGACAAACTGGTCTGGAGTAGGCGGCCATTAACCATTTGTGGGCCTGGAGAGCTAGAGAAAGATTCAAGGTAATGAAAACTCTGTAGGGATCTGTAACTTCCTAAGCTAAGGAGACTGTCCTACATTTTAACATCTGATAGGGCTTGTATAGACAGAGGGACAGAAGAACTGCATTTTACCAATTTCTTTGATCTCTTGCTCAATCTGGTGCTGTGCTAAAAGTGTGCTTGTGAACATTTTCTTATTAATAAATACATGATTAACTTTTGATGTTGGTAGTGGTTCATGAGTCTCCAGCGCAGTGTTCCCCCTAAGCTGAGTCAGTGTGAGCTGGGTCACAGTTTTTTAGCCTCCGGCTCACACATTTCTGTCTCAGCTCAGGCAGGAGGGCTCCAGAGCAGACTGATTTATGCAGCAGCCAAATGGCTGGCTGACAACTTTAAAGCCAGTAGCTCGCAAAGTAGACTTTTGCTTACAAGACTCCACAGCTTGGAGGGAACATCGCTTCCAGCGTACAGGTTGAAAACTTCATTTCCCTCTCGAGAGTTCCGCCACCTCTTTTTGCCAAAAAAGGTCTAGATTATTATACGAGTTGGTTTGGGAAAGTTTTTTTTTTTGTCCTGTAGCCTTCGTCGCAGAAGTGCAACAGAGAAGCAAGTGGAAGAGAAACTCCCGCGAAGGAAGCGGAACACCTGGCTCACGGCCCTCCTCTTTTCTCTTCCTCTTTCAGAAAGCGTTCCGGAGCCTTTGCGGATTAGCATGGAGGACCCGCCGGCTCGAGGGCCGCCGTCCCTGGACGCCCCTGGCCCAGGCCCCGGGGACCGGGAGCTGTTCGGCTACGTGGGGATCGAGGCGGTGCTGGATCAGATGCGGATCAAGACCATGAAGACGGGGTTCGAGTTCAACATCATGGTTGTAGGTGAGCGTCCGTCCGTCCGTTTGCCACTGCTATGAAACACCTCGGGGGCAGTGTTCCCTCTAAGCTGAGTTAGTGTGAGCCAGCTCACAGTTTTGTAGCCTCCGGCTCGCACTTTTTTGTCTCAGCTCAGGAAGGATGGCTCCAGAGCTGTTGTTCCCTCTAAGCTGAGTTAGTGTGAGCTGGCTCACAGTTCTTGTAGCCTCTGGCTCGCACATTTTTGTCTCAGCTCAGGAAGGATGGCTCCAGAGCAGTGTTCCCTCTAAGCTGAGTTAGTGTGAGCTGGCTCACAGTTCTTGTAGCCTCCGTCTCGCACTCTTTTGTCTCAGATCAGGAAGGATGGCTCCAGAGCAAACTGATTTATGCAGCAACCAAATCGCTTGCTCACAGCTTTAATGCCAGCAGCTCACAAAGTAGAATCTTTGCTCACAAGACTGCACAGCTTAGAGGGAGCATTGCTCGGGGGTATGGTCAGTATCCACCCAAGCGATGGAGGATGGGAGAGGCCGTACTGAATTCGAGATAGACTCTTGGCTCAGATCTCTTTTGGGGGAGCCGTTCCCAGTCAAGAAGCCTGTCCCCTCCCGTCCCCAGTGCAGCCAGCTCACAGTTTTTTAGCCTCCAGCTCACACCTTTTTGTCTGAGCTCAGGAAGGAGGGCTCCAGAGCAAACTAATTTAACCAGTAGGCAAATCATTTGCTCACAGCTTTAATGCCAGCAGCCCACAAAGTATTAATTTTGCTCACAAGACCCCACAGCTTAACGGGAGCATTGCAAGTTGTGAGCAAAACTCCTGATCTGTGAGCCACTGGCGTTAAAGTTGTGAGCGAGCGATTTGGCTGCTGCACAAATCAGTTTGCTCTAGAGCCGTCCTCCCCAAGCAAAGACAAAAATGTGTGAGCCAGAGGGTAAAAACCTCTGAGCTGGCTCACATGGACGCGGTTTAGAAGGGACACTGATGGGGCCTGGCAACAACAGGGACCTCAGTGGGGGTCCAGGGCCACAGAGTCCACCCTCCAAATGCACCCATTTTGTACGGGGTAACAGATCTCTGTAGTCTGGAGGTGAGTTGTAATTCCGGGGGGGTCTCCAGGTCCCACCTGGAGACTGGCATTCCTATGGGAGGGGAAGCCCCCTCGTCAAAAGCATGGCCAGATACCCTTGCGACCAACTCGATGTCAGAAAGACGATTTGTCTTTTGGGGCCTTTCGGGACACCGGCCGAGCGGCTCGGTTCTGCCCGTCCCCCCCTCTACACGTGTGACTTGAGATCTTACGGGCCTCCCCGAGCGCAGGTCAGCCGATCTGTTGACTCTGCAAAATGCCGGCCTCCCTGGAGAATCGCCAGCTGGGCAGAACGCTTTCTTCCCCACAGCCGGAAAGCTGAGCTCACGTTTTAATGCACGGATGCGGGAGGGGGGGAAGCTGGTCAGCGCGTAGCAGCCCCAGAGTGGGGAGCACATGGGACCTGGAAATGGGCGTTTCCTCTGCCCCCGGAATCCCCGGAGTCGTGTTTCCCAAGCTCTTTCGATCCCTGGAGCACGGTTGCCTTTCCCCCTGGATTAGAGCTGAATGAAGGCACGCTTCCCGTCAAAGACATCTGCATTTTCTCAGCCCGCTCAGCAGCCGGCCGGCGGGCACGCACCCTTTCTGGCAGGCTAACCCCATTAACGTTGCTCCAAGTGTCTTCTCCCGGACTGGGATCCCTCTGTGCTACTATCACAAGCTTCGTGAGGGAATCCTAGTCTTTCTTTATTCCCTTCCTTGTCACGTTATCAGGGGAAGGAAGGGGGAGGAACGGACGTCGGTCGGAGCCACCTCCCAGCTCTGACGGTCGTGGAGGGGGGGAATTTGTCCGATTTTGTGGCTTAATTTTCGGCTGACATCGCCACGTCTGCTGTATCATCACCTTTGTGGTCTCAGCAGAGCCAATTTGGTGTCGTGGTTAGAAGCGTGGACTCTGTCACATGCAGCAGCTGGGTGACCTTGGGTCAGTCACAAGTTCTCTCAGAGCTGTTCTCTCAAGAGCAGTTCTCGGGAGAGCTCTCTCAACCCCACCTACCTCACAGGGTGTCAGTTGTGGGGAGAGGAAGGGAAGGAGATTGTGAGCTGCTCTGAGAGAAGGGCGGGGTATAAATCCAATCTCCTCTTCTCTTCTTCTCCTACACCACCCAGTCCCTCCTGCCCCCACCCCACCCAGAAAGCCATGATTTGCTGTGGGAAATAGCAGAAAAGCACAATGTCCAGTAGCACCCTAAGTACTAACATAATTTGTGGCAGGGGATGAAACAGGAAACCTAGGTCTCAATTCAGTCCAGGAGGATGCATAATGAAGCTCAAGACAATGCGTCCTCCTGGGCTGAATCCAGAGCCAGGTTTCCTGTCTCATTACCAATGCTGATTTCTCCATGCCTACTACCTCTCTGCCTATCACATCTAATCCAGTGACGCCTCCTGTTGTCATCCGCCTGCTATTGTCATTCGGCATCTGAAATCACCCCACTCTCCTTGATAGAGGACAGACAGACTCCCATTCTCGCTGTATCTGGAGAAGTGAGCAGTGACTCACAAAATCTCCTCCCCTGCCACCAATTGTGTTAGTCTTTCAGGTCAAGCCCGTAGCTACAGTGGTGCATCTCGGGGCCCGATCCCCCGACTTACTGCCAAGACGTCCCATCTAGCCCAGGTCCCGCAACTTCCAATTTTTTATTTTATTTGTTGTGCTCCCTTGGCGGGTGTGTGTGCAGGGTGCCCCCTGACTTATTTAAAGCCCCCCCCAATTAAAAATTCCTGACTACGGGCCTGTTTCAGGTGCTACGGGACTCTTTTCTTCTCTGCTGCTAAAAAAGGTAAAGGTAAAGGTTCCCTTGCTCGAAAGCCAGTCGAATCCGACTCTAGGGTTGCGGTGCTCATCTCCGTTTCAAAGCCGAAGAGCCAGCGCTGTCCGAAGACGTTTCCGCGGTCATGTGGCCGGCATGACTAAACACCGAGGCGCACGGAACGCTGTTCCCTTCCCACCGAAGTGGTCCCTATTTATCTACTTGCAATTTCTTGCTTTCGAACTGCTAGGCTGGCAGGAGCTGGAACTAGAGACGGGAGCTCACGCCGTCATGCGGCACACGCGGGTCTCGAACTGCTGAACTACTGACCTTCCACAGCCTGCAGTTCAGCGTCTTAACGCTGCTACAGATAGACTAACACGGCGACCCGTCTTGCTCGATCTCCGCGTGAGAAAGAGGGGCTCCCTTTAGAGCTGCCACCGGCCTCCCGCTGTGTTCTCCGACCTTGGGCCCGTTCGGAGCGGGCCGTCCCCTTCCTGGGAATCCGTGCCGCGGGAGCGCTCCAAACCTCTCCTAGCAACTCCCTGCCCTTTCCCACCACACCCCCCGCCCCCACCCCGCTCTCCTCCACGCCTTCCTCCCGAACCCAGAACAGCAGCCAAATCTTTGAAGGGGGCGCTCCCTTCCAAATTCGGCAATAAATATCCCCAGATCAAACGCCGGAGGCCCCGCGTGGAAATGCCAGAGAGTAATCCCAAGGAAGAAGGATGATGCTGTTTGGGGCCTGCAGCGTGTTTGTAGAGGAGGGGGGGGGATTATGAGATAACCTTTCCTAAGAGCGCGGCAAAAGCAGGAGACCGATAAATCCCCCCCCCCCAAACTCCCCAGCTGGTGGGGAACCAGCACAA